TCAAACTCACAGAGATCCGCAAATACATGCTTTTAACTGAACCAATTCTGTTTTTCTTCCCTAAATCTAATGAATCTTTTTTTTAAAAAAAATGTTTAAGATAGTGTCTCAGGTAGCCCAGGCTGACCTATATAGTAGATGATCTTGAACTTCTGAACCTCCCGTTTCCATCTCCCAAGTGCTGAAATCAAGGACTCTACTGCCACACTCCAATTTATGCAGTTCTGGGACTCAAACCTAGGGCTTCCTGAATGCTAGGCGATCCCTCTTCGGACTGAGCTACGTTAGCCGCAACAGTCTTTCCTTTAGAGGGGATCTCCCAAGACTCAAGCAAATGGTAGTGTTTTGATTCCACTCTGTGGTTGGGGTTTAACACTTTGAACAAAAGCAACTTAGGTGAGGAAGAGGTTTACTTCACTTTTCACTTCCAGGTCACAGTCCATCGTTGAAGAATGTCAGAGCAGGAACTCAAGGCAGGAGCCTGGAGCCCCAACCATGAAGGAATGCTGCTTGCTGGCTCATTCACTAGCTTGCTTATACTCAGGTAGCTTTTCTTCTACATTCCGGGATCACTTGTCTGGAGGTAGCATTGCCCACGGTGGGCTGGGCCCTCCTGTTTCAATTAGCAGTCAAAACAATGTCCCACAGATATGCCCACAGACCAATCCGGTAAAGCAATTCCTCAGTTGAGATTACCTCTTCCCAGGTAACTCTAGGCTCTGTCAAGGTAACAGTAAATACTAACAAGGACAGGTGGAATATAAAAATAAGAGCTAATAGGACTGAGGATTGTCCCCATTTACAACTTTACCATGTGGTAGTAATAATTGGAGAATCTTGTTTTTTGGTGGGTTGTTTGTTTTGTTCTTTGTAGCGGTAATGCCCTCATTACCGATACCCGTTCACCATGTCCGAGCGAAGGGCTGCGGATTAAAAATAGAGACAAGAGACAGCGAGTCATTCGCCATGACTGAATGCCGAATGTCGTTTATTGAAAGAGGGAAGAAACCTTAAATACAGGCTTACAACACAAATGGAGGATCCCCGAAGGGCAGAAGTTCGCTACCAATGGTCTACATTCTAGACCCAATGTTCTACATTCTTGCATCTAAGTTGTTTACACCAAATACAGGATGCACCTAAGTTGTTTACACCAAACACAGGATGTAGGAACAAAGAACCTCTGGTAAGCTCTCCGGTGATCCTCAGGTGAGAAGGAGACCGGCAGGGAATCTGAATAGGGAGGAAATCTGTTCAAGGTCAGCAAGCAAGGCGGCAGCCACTCACAGTCGGGGGCCAGGGCCCATGGCGCCCACAGTTCTTTTGGTTTTTCAAGACAGAGTTTAACTGTATAGCAGCTCTGGCTGTCCTGAAACTTGCTTTGTAAACCAGATTGGCCTGGAACTCACAGAGATCCACCTGTCTCTGCCTCCCAGGTGCTGAGACTAAAGGGGTTCATCACCATGCCTGGCTGCTTGTTACGTTGTGTTTTCATGTTGGAGAATCTTCATTGGAATTAGGATATACTTGCTAAGCAACTGGGATAGATCCCATAGGTCAGTCTTGGGAGAGTTGGCCTCTGGGAAGCAGGAGCTGGACGGACAAACAGACGAGCACCAAGGAGAAGGTAAAAAACAAAGTGATAGGAGGTAGGCAACTAATGGTCAAAATAGGGATTTCTGTAGATTCAGTCTAGCTACGGGGGGGAAAGTTCAGAGAAATGACCAAAGTCTGAACAAAGAGAAATTCAGGGTGGGGACAGAAGTCCAAGGTGACAAGTCCATCACCCAGCTGGATGACAGGTCAGAGCTGAAGTCCAGTTACCAGAACAGCCTGTCAGAGGAGCACGTCAGCTCATCAGTGTATGCGTTGCCAGACTCCTTCATTTCCCCACAAAGGCCACGTCTGGTTTGGTCTCAGACTCCTGAGACCCAGGACAAGCACAAGAATCCAGGGCCCAGGGTGCCATCTCCCAGGCTTCCTTGCCATGATGACACAGCACTGAGGTCAACATGACTGCCAAGCCGAGTGGGCAGCAGAGAGGAAGGAAGTCAAGGGCAAAGGGTCCTTGTCATTGGGCCGGCTCGCTGGCCCGGCAGGGAGTGGCGGCGTGTGGGGGTGGAAAGGCAAGAGGGTTGCATTTGTTTGTTTCCCTCCTCATGGCAACTCACAGACTTAGCCAAAGGCAGAGAAAAATTGAGTGCCTGAAAACTTTCCTAACATTCTGACTCATAAATGTTGCCAAACGTGTGGGTCAGATGTAGGCGGAGATAGGCAAAACCCTAAGTCCACCCATGGATGGTCCTCACACTGTTTCCCCTCTGCCTTCCACACAGAAAGAACTCTCAGTGTCACCGAAATGAGTTTGTTTGATTTTTCTAAAAATGACACCAAAGGAAATCCAATATTCACCTTCCTTGTGTCTCCTAAGCTCAAAGGATTGGAACCCACCTGGAGACACTTGGCCAACATTTGTGATTAATTTTCCCATCTCCATTCTCTCTTTATTTCTCTCCATCTCTCCCCTGTTCCTATGACAGAGCATGACAAGGGTTTCCCAGGACTCAAGATAATGTCGCCAGTGGGCTGAGACCAAGAATCAGCAAAGAAGATGTGCATAGAAGAACAGAGCCGACTCCACTTCTGACGGTTACCTGCTTTCAGTGTGTATCTCCCGGTGATGCGGGCTTAGCTGCAGTTGGCAAAGGAACATTTGATTAATGTTCAATAAATATTGTTTGATCAACATGTCCATTTCTATATTTCATTTGTGCTTAAACAAACCAGTTGGGGCAGGTAGAGGGGATCGGCCAACTGTAAAATCAAGGAAGTTCATGTTGGACCACACCACAGAGCTCAATGTAAGGCTCAAAACTGCTGGCCACATGGGGCTAGGAGGTATGAGGACCAGAGCTGGATCCCCAGCACAGACATTAAAAAACCCAGTGTGGCAGTTCACACCCGTAACTCCAGCTCTGAGAACACAGAGTCAGGCAGAGCCTTAAAAAGTTCATTCATCAGCCGGCCTAGCCAAACTGATGCGATTCAGGCTTGGTGAAAGACTCTGTCTCAAAAAAACAAAAGTGAATCAAGGAAAGACAACCAACATTGATGTCATATGTGCACGTGCGCGCGCGCGCGCGCGCGCGCACACACACACACACACACACACACACACACACACATACTTTTTTTAAAAAAGAAAAGTCACCAAACTTCAAAATAGAAATTAAAACTTCTCATTTATTCCTTTTTTAAAAAAAAGATGTGGGGCAGTGGTGTGCACACCTTTAACCCCAGCACTTGGGAGGCAGAGGCAGGCAGATCTCTGAGTTTGAGGTCAACCTGATCTACAGCGCTAGTTCCAGGACAGCCAAGGCTGTTACACAGTGAGACCCTATTACAAAAATCCAAAACCAAAAAAACAACAACAAAAACAAACAAAAAGATTTACTTATTTATGTATTTTATGTGTAAGGGTGTTTTGTCTGCATGCACATCTGCACACCAAAAGATGGCATTGGATCTCAGTACAGATGGTTGTGAGCTGTCAGGGGTGCTGGGAATTGAACTCAGGACCCCTGAAAGAGCAGCCAATGCCCTAAACCACTGGGCCATCTCTCCAGCCACTCTGTTCTTTCTATTTAAAAGTTACCTTTACTTGTTATAGATTTCATAAACTTTTTTTTAATTTAATATGAGCTAGATGCAATGGTACATGCCTGCAGTCCCAGCCATTCTGGAGGTGGAGGCTAGAGAGACATTGGAGCCCAGAAATCCAAGGTCTACTTGGGCAATACAGCAAGACCCATCTCTAAATTCATTCATTCATCCACCCACTCATCCATCTAGCAATCAGTATCTATACTTGATAAAGTTGTGAATTACCAGAAGATACAAGAAAGTAAAAATAAGTAGCAGCCCACCTTTCCATTCCCCATCCCCCATCCTCCCACTCCACCACCCCACCCCACCCCACTCCACCCTGCCTAAATGAAGTTTTATGCTGAGGGAAGAGTGAGGACCAAGCTACTAAGCTACTATACCTTGGACCACCTTGGACCGCCAACACTCTGGGGAGGGTCTGTCTTGACACAGGATTCCTCACTCAAGGCCTGTAGAGCAGGAGCTGGCACACAGCAAATAATGCATAGGTACCTGGTATGGGGGCAACATTCCCATAAGCACTTGTCTTTAATAGAGAATCTCTTGTCCATGCTCCAACCAACTGCTGCCTTCTCTCCCCTGGGTTCTAACTCTCTCCAGAGGCTTAGCACCTACAGCAATCTATTCCAAATACTTTTCCCTGCTGAGCTTGGATCAAGGAGTCTCTTCTCTTTTTAATGTGCATGCCGTGTTCCTGTGTGTGCGGCGCATCTTAGCTGTTGTTGCTCCGGCACTATTTACCTTAAGGGAGGGGGTGGTTATTTGTTTGTTTGCTTTGAGACAAAGACTCTCCCTTGACCAAAATTCACCAGATGGGTTAAGCTGACTGGACTGGCCAGTAAAGCCCCAGGATCTACCTGTCTCTGCCTCCCCGACACTGGAATCACACATGCTACCGTCACACTCAGTTTTGTCTACATGGGTTCTGCAGGGTTTGAACACAGGTCCTCTGCAAATCAAGTACTTTACCTGCAAAGCCATTGCATCAGCTAAAGATTTTCTTCCTCTGATGATTCTTGGAGGGGGGACTTGCTGATTAAGGGACTCTCAATTATTAATACTCAGAAAAGAAAAATGTGCAGTCAGGCCTCAATGCCATCCCTTTGAATCCCATCCGTCTGCTGCTTGGATCATGCTGACAAAACCCTCTATTTCACTTTTCACTTTATAGATTCATTCATTCAGTAATCTCCTTGTTGATTCATTGGTCTTCAAGTCAACATGTCAACCTTCTGCCTTGTAGATTCAGGAACACGATCAGGTAGCGAGGGAAGGTAAATGTTGGCTATCCTCTGGCAGGAGACAAGAAAATGATTCATTCCTTAACATTTGTCTGCTTTAAGGCCATTTCCAGGAATCCCATGAAACAAGATAGGAGACAGCAGCCAATGTGCAGTCACAACATTTTTGTTCTTTGTTGATTCATAGGACCACTGGTCGCTACTACTGGAGAGGTCCTATCCCATTCGGGATGGTCTGGCCTCAATAATGACCAGCTAATTGCAAATGCCAGTGAACACAAAGACTCCCAACGCTCACATACAAAGCCAGACACAAAGGTGTTCTGCAGTAATACTCAGCCCAAACTCTCAAACCTGACTCATTCCCCATAAGTCCAGGTTTCCCCAGCCTGTAAACATAAATAAGAATGGTCATTTTTCCTATTATTTATGGCAACTCAAGACTCCATTTATCAAGCCAGCTGGGCCTCAGCCTCCTTCCCTGGGAATCCTCCAAGGTGGTGGTGTTTTATGTACTTTTCCTGAGTCAGTTGATCTCTGCTTCCTCAGGTTTAGGCCATCAATCTCTACTCTGTCCACAGGCCACTTAGGCCAACTGCCAGTTGCCATTTACTCCTTTAGAGTGAATACTGCCGGCCCACTTCCGGCAAATGCTGCAATTTCCATTCTGTTCTTGGTTGGAGAAGAAAGGCAGAGAGGAAGGCACTCCTCCCTTAGGTATGCAAGAGATGCTTCCTTCCACAGCACATCTCGGGCTTTCACCACTGACAAGCCTTGAGACCAAAGAAAGGGACTGTAGCCTTGCTGTTCCAAATGGGTTCCCTCCACCACCATCGCCTCGAGCCTGACATTAATTCAGCATCTCAGGTCTCATTCCTGTCCTCCTGAAACATAACCTGAATGTCAATAAGACTCTCAGTCATATTTATGGATATTGAACTTCATGAAACAAAATTTTTAACATAGAAGGACTTTCATCTGCAAGTCAGGCATCTACCACTGCCTTGCTAGGCCCATTCACTGATGTTCTCCATCTTATGTTCTGTTCAAAATGCTGACCTCTGTTGGACCACACAAACAGGGCTTCTTTTGCCAGAAAGAACAAGAAACCAACGAATCCTTGATGATGGAAGATACTTTGTACTTAACCAAAGAATTAAGTTTTTTTTTCCTGTGTGTGTGTGTGTGTGTGTGTGTGTGTGTGTGTGTGTGTGTGTTAGTGCTGAAATACTTTCCACATATAGTCACTTGTGATTTGCTCAACTTCTTTTGAGAAGCATATATTGTAGTACTTTTTGGAATGAGACACAAGAGAAATAGATGACAAACATTATTACCAACACCAACTACAATCATCTGTATTAGCTACATGTTTTTCCTACAAATAAAAATGTCAAGTCTATACTGAGAAACCAGCATTCCTCATGAAGTTAGCTGAGACAACAAACCCATAGGGTACAAAGTAGAATCATGAGCTGCTGGTTACTGTCTGGTCCTTCCTAGGAATGATATTCTGATAAGTGGTTTGTTTCCATTCTTCAGCTTGACTATAACTCTGATGGTCATGCTCAGTTCCATCTGAAATTACTTAGTCCAGCTGATCTAGGCAAAAGGAACATTTTAGAGTTTTGTAAGATGAACACTACCTTTCAGGCAGTGAGTTGGCCCATCCATGTACTCTCTCTGCCAAAAAATCCTTCCTCTTCTTAGCAATGTAATTACATAAGAGATCCCCAGAGAGCCTACTCAGATGAGCCCAGAAAATAAGGGCTGGAGAAAGTGAGTCTGCCCTTGGCAGTGTGGGGTGGGTCAGCTGACTCTGTCTCCTGAGTTTTTGCATCTCCAGACCACCTCCTGAGCTTTTAGATTTCATCATGTTTTCCTAATGTCAAGAGTGGCCTTGTCAAATCTATGAGAGGCTCTCAGAAGATACTGAAACGGTGAAAGAAAGAACTATAGTAGCTATGCTCTGTGTATTCATAAACCATGTTTATGCTTTTTATATTTTTAAATGAACTCTCTTTCTTGTGGAAAGAAAATTGATAAACCTAAGCACTAATATAGACAGAAAAAAACCCACAATGTTAGTGAAAAGCAAAATTATTTATGAGTCTAGCTGTGGATCTCACAATGCATATAAGAGAAACATGTTTGTAATGAAATAATTTAATGGTTATAAAACAAATATCCCAGCCTACCAGTCACAAGAAGACCAAAGAACAAAAGAAACTACAAAAGAAAGAAGAGGAGGACCACAAGGAAGAGGAGGAGGAAAAAGAGGAGGACCACAAGGAAGAAGCCACAACAGCTGCTATCATACCTCCAGTGACTGCCAGTGCCCTTCCTCCTCCTTACAGAACCTACTTGGGCCACCTGCTCCACACGGCTCCAGTAAGAGACACTATTCTCCTGGCCCCATCTCCTTGAGACCTACCTCTAATCTATCCAGTCCACCACCCTATCTCAGGTCTCTGTGGCCCATAGACACATAGTAAAAAACACAGCCAACAACCTAACTCCAGGTGCACAGGTCCCATGGCAGAAATACAAGTAATTAAAAAAAAAAATCCTCCTGCCCCAAAGCACCAATCCATTAGTAATTGTTCCCATGAAGAACAACTCAGACAAATTTCAAGACAAAGAATCCAAAAGAAAATTTATAAACACGTTCTAAGAATTCAAAGAGGATGCCAATAAACAGCTGAATGAACTTAAAGAGGCCAGGAATAAACTGATGGAAGTCCAAGAAAACACAACTGACTGGAGAAAATAAAGAAGACAAAAAAGACAGGATATGAAAAAGGATAGAACAGAGAGTCCTATAAAAAGATGGCACTACCAAGGAAAACCTACACTGAAGTGAAGCTGGAAATGAAAACTTCAAGTGGTCAAATAAAAAAGCTCAATGGAGAGCCTCAGGAACAGAGTGGATCATGAGAAAGGTAGAACTCCAGGGCCTGAAGACAAAGAGAAGGAGTGGACTATTTAATCAAAAAAAAATGATTTTTTTTTTAAATGCAAGAACTGAACAGGCAGGATTCTTGGGAAACTGTGAAAATGCCAAATCTACGAATTCCAAGTTCAGAAGAAGGAAAAGAATTCCAAGGTAAAAGCATAGAAAAATACTCAATAAAATCATAGAAGAAAAATTCCCAAATCATGAGAAAGAAATGTCCACACAGGTCTAAGAGGCCTACAGAATACCAAACAGACAAGACCAGGAAATAAATTCTGCGTGACATATTATGATTAAAACACCAAATATACAAAACAAAGAAAGGTATTAAAAGCTTCAAGAAAGAAGCACAAAAGTCATACAGAAAGGCAGACCCATCATAATGACAGCTGATGCAAACTTTTAAAGCCAGAAAGGTTTGGGGAGATATATTCTAAGGTCTGAAAAAGCACAACCACCAACTAAGAATTTTATACCCAGCAAAACTATCTTTTATGAGTGGAAAAATAAGTAAAAGATTTTCATAATAATAAAAATAAAATAAAGGGCCGGGCGGTGGTGGCGCACGCCTTTAATCCCAGCACTCGGGAGGCAGAGCCAGGCGGATCTCTGTGAGTTCGAGGCCAGCCTGGGCTACCAAGTGAGTTCCAGGAAAGGCGCAAAGCTACGCAGAGAAACCCTGTCTCGAAAAACCAAAAAAAAAAAAAAAATAAAAAAATAAAGGAATTAATGGCCACTAAGGCAACTCTATAGGATGATGCTTTGGACAGAAGAGAAACACAAATGTATCTAAGATGCTGCAGTAAAGAAATGAACAATACTAGAAGAATTAGTCAAAAGATGCCTAAGAAAATACCACAACATCAACAAAATGACCACAATTAATGCACATCTTTCAATAATACCTCTGAATATGAAAGCTTTCAAATCACTAACAAAAAAGACACAAACTTGCAGATTGGATCAGAAAGCGTGATGCAACTATTTGCTTGCTTGAAGGTGACTCCATCTTAAGGCAAAAGAATGGAAAAGGGTATTCCAGGCAAATCACAGTAAGAAGCAAGCAGGAGTAGCAATTCTGATATTGGACTAATAGAGTTCAAATCTAAACTAGTCAGAATAGATACAGGTTATTTCATTCATTAAGAGGACAATCTATAAGAGGATATTAAATTTTTAAGTATATGCACACTGAGCACAGGTAAACTAATCATACAAACACTACTGGATGTGAAGCCACAGATCAACTCCAACAGAGTAATAATGGGGGACTGTAACATATCACTTTCACTGTTAGATTGGTCATCCAACAGAAAGTAAAAAGGTAAAGCAAATGCCCCTAACAGACATCTACAGAACACTACACCCAAACACTAAAGAACACATGTACTTCTCAGCAGCTTATGGAACTATCTCCAAAACAGAACATACATTAAGACACAAAACTAAAAAATAATTAATTAAAAAAGTAAACTTGCTAGGGATCATTTGCAGAAGATATGGGAAACACGTTACTAGATATTTTTCTAAGTAGACAGATAGGACCATGGAAATAAAATACAATGAACTTAGGACAAAGTCCCCCAAATCTCTCTAGAGTACAATTCCTTAAGCTTAATTAAGAAAAACAAAAGCAATAATGGAAGATTCGAGCCTCCTCCAACTCTGAACTCCCAACTAACTGAAGAAATTCTTACAGAGGAAGTTGCATTGAATTATGCAAAGTTGAGGGAGACATGAGCTATTACTGCAAAGGGAAACAGAGAAATCGAGATAGGACAGATGGGAAATGCTCCACCCTGGTGGACTAGATTATATAAAACTTTATGAGAGCATGAAGATGGTTTAATCAGGTAGAAATCAGTGGGGGTGGGTAGTCAAGGTTGGGCGTATAGCTCAGTGGTAGAGTACCTGACCAGATGTAGAAAGTCCTGGGTTTGGGTCAAATCGCCTTCTAAAGAATTATGTTTCTGTCAGTATATTAGTGCTTTTTTCAGTTTAGGTCACAGAAGCATTTTGCTATAAGCTGCAGTAACTGCAGAGACTCATAACTGGTCAAAATGCAGAGAATCAGTGATTGCTGAATGCTCAGTCA